TTTGCCAAAAATGTTGTGGGAAACCTTCCTATACTATGATCAGCCAAGGATTCTATAGGATGAAATGCCAATCCATAGGTTTGGTGTCTGAAAGTAATGGACCATTACTTTACCAAGTCAGAAGGCCATTCTGCAACTGTCTCAAGGAAAATCTATCAGTTGCTAGACCTACTATGATAAAATGAAGAAGTTGTGGGGATGAATTTTAACTATCTTAAACAACTGCCAGTTTGGGCCACTTGTGGGGCATCATCAAGCCATGTCTGATATGGAAAGCAAGATAGATTTGATTCAGTTATTTAATGGGTTTTAAAATGATACTTATGAAACACGCGAAAAACCAAATTCTTTGATGATGGACCTCTGCCATCAATCAATAAAGCATATTTAATGATATTTCATTGTTGCAAACAGAAAGAGATTCAGCTATGTTACCCAATTGAAAATTATAGAAGAACAGCGCAATTGGCAGGTACAGACACCAAAGGAGGACAAAATATTATGAAATTCAAAGAGGAATTTTGGAAAGAAAGAAGATTCAATACATGTACAAACTGCAAAGCTTCAGGTCACAATAGGCAGGCTTGCTTCAAAAATCTAATAGGATATCTAGATTGGTGGGAAGACTTAAGGCAAAAAAGAAACGCTGCAAAATGCAAAGGCAAATGGCTGTGACTAGAGATTTTGATAGTCCCTTGAAATGAATCATGCAGCAGGAGTATCTTCAAACGAAGATCATTGGGGATATGAATTTTTGAACAAGAATCCACAACGAACAGAGTGCAGCAGCCAACACTGTTCTCATTTTGAGGTATAACTTCTACTTTTTTGATTATGTTAAACTGAATTACAGGGAAACTGGTAAATGGGTTGTTGATTCTAGATGTACAAGAACCAAACATGGACTTGTTAATTCTTCATTCTTTGAGGACTTATACATAAACTTAGGAACCCAAAAACAGTAAGCATGCTTGATGGAACCTTTTAAAAACCATAACTCATTTTGGAAAGATTTTAAAGTTAATGTAGAATCCACTTGATTGATACCTTGTTTTTAGCCAAGTTTTGATTGTACACCTATCTCAGGGACAAAATTAACCAAAAACTTGCAATACGTCAAGCCCACTTTATATCAAAACTATTGCATTTTGCAGGATTTGCTGAGTAGGGATAACATTGTATTGGAAAAAGTGTCGGAGGGTGTATATATCTTGAGTCAAAAGTTCTTTTCTTAGTTAAGTAAGTGTCAAAAGTTAATCATGTAAATCAAGTTCAAAGAATGAACAAGTCCACATTTGTGGCATTTTAGATTTAGGACATTTATCTTTTCAAAATTAGGACATTTATCTGTTCAAAGGTTAAGTCATTCAAATGTAAAAGATATTGAAAATGTAAATGAGTTAGTCTGTGATGTTTGTCATTTATCCAAGCAGCAGAGACTGCCTTTCTATTGTTTTGATCATTAATCTCCATTACCTTTTGATTTGGTTCACATTGGTTTGTGGGGACCTTATAGAATTAAATCCATCACAGGTGCTATCTACATGGTCACTATTGTTGATGATCATAGTAGATACACATGGACTTATATGATTAAGGATAAAACTCAGGTTCATAATGTTATTGTCAATTTCTTAAATATGATAGAGACATGGTTTAGCAAGAAGATTAAGTCCATTAGATCTGATAATGGAACATAATTTATTAATGTCAAATGTCATGATCTATTCACTTCTAAAGGGATCCATCACCAAAAGTCTTGTGCCTATAGCCCACAGCAGAACGGCATTGTGGAAAGAAAGCATAAAACATTACTGCAAGTTGCTAGGTCTTTAATGTTCCAGGTCTTTCCAAAATTTTTCTAGTTAGAGCTTTACTGTTAGCTGGCAATCCATATAGCCAATAGAATACCTTCACAAGCCTTAAACTAGGAAAATCAACCCTTTGAGCCTTACACAAACGGAAACCTGACCTTTCTCATTTAAGAATCATCGGTGTCTGTTTGTTATGTTACCTATGTAACACCCTATAAAAAGACGAATTCGATCAATGGAGCTATAAGTGTGCATTACTGGGATATGCAAAGATCAAAAAGGCATTACAGATTGGTTATGACCTCAAAAAACAAATGCATAATACCATCCAGGAGATGTAATATTCCATGAAGCATTTTTTCCTTATAAAAGAACATTACTCCATTTGAACCAAACTGTCCATATTACTAACCAATGTTTGATATCACCCAAATCCTTTTAATGACATGGAACCAAGCACCAAACACTTGAGCACCAATTTCAAAAATCCACAAACCCGGAAAACAACTTGAAGAACACCAATGACTAGCATGGAAGGGCCAATACCAGTAATACGTAACTAGAACCAATGTTGCTGTCACAATGCCTTTGCAAAACAGTAGCTCTGTAGTCCAATTTATAGAAATGGTACAGGAGGCAACTAGAAAACTATAAATAGGCAGTCTGGATGCAAGATTATGTTTCATTTGTCCAAACAATATAATTGATGACATCTACTGCAAGAAATCTACCTCAACATGCATGATTTACCATTTTTGATAGGCACCTTTCCCAAATGCCGTATCTGTGCCTACCATACCTACCAAAAAACAGATTCAAACAACGCCTGAAACCATCAACTTACAATAAAGGCCAAAACATGCATTAAAAAATTGGATTAAAGCTAAATGCATAAAATGGAGATAACTGCATTAGAGAACAACAAAACCTGGACTGTTACGTTCATTGCCAAAAGGGAAAAAAGAGTTAATTGGATGAAAATGGCGGTTTATAAACAGAGGCTAAATAAAGAAAGGAACTAAATTACATATTTACAATTAATTTGAATTTTCTGTGATTGTGCTGATATAGAGGAATTGGTGGCCTTAATTATGTTAGTTTCCAAAATACTAAGTAACAGCTGTAGTTTCACTAATACAAAGAAGCGGAGGAAGAGAAGCTTATGGAGATAAATATAACTAGAATTTATTTTTACCTATTTGTATAATTAGTTACTTCATAATTTAATGTGATATGAACACATAAATGCTTTGTAAAATATCACAAGCTTAATGTAAATACATGCGGCCAAATACATAAAAATACCCTTAAACTTTTCAAAAAAAATCTTACGGCACCCTAGAGTTTGCGAATGATCTATTATGCCCCTACAGTTATAAAAATCGATAACTTTACACATCTCACATAACAATCCTAGAACAATTAAAAGAGCGTGTATACAAGCTTATCAAATGACATCGTTTCTTTTTTTCATCTTCTTCTCTCATCTCTCTTTTATCTTTTCGTGATTCTTTTTTTTCTCTCTCTCTCTCTCTCTTTCTCTTTCTCTCTCTCTTGTTCATCTCTTTCTCTTTAGCTATCATTGTTGAATCCAGATGGTCGAGGGTTCATGCAACGCCAAATCGAGATGGAGAAGGACTCATATAAGGGCATTTGTGTATAAGTTGCAGTCGATTGATAAAATAGAGAAGGCAAGCAAGATGAGTTAAATTCCAACAACAGTTTGTTTGTTGTTTTCATCAAATTGTGTTTGTCTTGTTTTTATTTTCTTAAGAAAAAAAAAAAAAAAAAATCTTTGATCATTTGAGATGGGTCTTCATATTCTTTACAAGTATTAAATCATATTCCAATTATAATAATTATAAATCAAGACAACATTTCTTCTCTAAAAATATTATTTTCGATTGATTGATATTCTTATAACTACTGTAAAAACACTTCTAAAAATGAAATTAAAACACATTTTCTTGTATTATTAGCTCTTTTAACCTTAATATTTAAATTTTGAGATCGAGTTTTAATTTCTAACATGGTACTATTTCTCTATTTACACTTCCATTAGACTACTGATCTTAATTATACAAGTTATTGTTTTTTTTTTTTTTTTTTTTAATTCAGAGAAAATTTTCAACTTTAAACGTCAATTTCATATTAATACTGAATGAATACTAAATCAATTAGCAAATTTTTTTATTTGAATTCAATATTAATTCGAACTTAAAAAATTATACTCTTTGATTTATTTCGAAGTATTGGTGAAGAAAATATATTCACAGGAATAGTGAAAAGATGTGGTGGTGGTGAGTGGGTGATGAAGAGAAAGGACATTAAAGTACAAAAAGCCTACTATTTTCTTTTTTTATTATTTTGTATTTAGTTAAATGCCATCTAAGCCCCTTTTTTTAGTTTCATGCTCGTTTAGGAGAGTGATTTTCAGGGGCTTTGAGGGTTTAAATAAAAATCAAATTAATAAACTATATAGTCTATAATAGGTCACTCGCAAAATTTAGAGCACTGGTATAAGTTATGATTTTTTTTGCTTAAGTTCAAGGGAATTTGAATTTTTATGTATCTGGCCATATCTAAGTTATTGGTATTAAAGACATTTCACACTATAAACACTTACAATTTCTTATCTGTAACAAATGTGGGACCTTTTAGATTCCTATCTTTTCACAACTTCACAAGCTACACAAGACTTATATCCAACAAAATTAGTTGCAAGTTTTAATTTCTCTCCCCTTTTTTTCGGACTAGTACTAGAAAATTAGGGATTGATTAAATTCAAGTATTAAGGGGAAATTCGATGAACAATAATAATTAAAATTTAGAGGTTTTTCATACTATAATTGTTTTAATATATTTGAAACTATATAGTACTTTTATTTTTATTTTTCATAATCTTATTTGTAGTATTTTTTTTTAAAAAAATTTGGTGTTGAACCCAAAGCGCTTTTTAAGATTTGGTTCGATTAAATATATTTCATAGTTGACTTCGATTTTAAATTTTTTTAAACTGTCATTGTAAGTTTGACTGAAACTTTCAAATTACGTAAAATCGAATTATTAACACCCTTAAGACGATAACTAATATAAAAAGGCTAAATACATCATTTGCCTCCCTGAACTTGCGCAAAAAAGTTTTGTGAACCCTCTACTTTCAAAGTGACCTTGTGACACTCTAAATTTTTCTTTTTAATAACAATTGCACACATGGTCAGAGTACTAAACTCGTTTTGCACAACATGCACGGATGACGTGAAAAATTACAATTCCAAGTCACATAATTTTGCCATGTCGGATATCATCAAATAAAAAATTCATGAATCGAGCCAAATCAAACCTAAATCGAACCAAATCAGCAACTAACCTATCTATATATCTAAAAATCCCTGTTTTGCTTTAACCCAAAATCCCTTCTCCCTCTTCTTGATCGCACCATAGACTCCTCCCCTATCCCCTTTGTTTACCGTTCACCGGAGCTCAAAGCTCCATCGATCTGACAACCTCACATCGCCGGCAGCACCTCTGGTCAGCGCTTTTGCCTTCGTTCTTGTTCAAGCGATGCTAATGAGAGAGACAGAGGGGCTTCTCGATCGAGCCAGTCCTCTTTCTCCTTTCTTTTGGCGTTTCCGGTGATCTTTCTCCTTTCTTTTGGCGTTTCCGGTGACTTAAGCTCAAGTCGCGCCGACTAAAGCTTCTTGTCGCCGTTCCTTCGCCGCTCACTCCATCTCGGGTCTCTCTCTTCCTCTTCCGGCAAGCGTAGTAGAGTGCGAGTCGCAGTCTGGCTTTCTGGTCGATCTAGCCTGCTTCAGCACTACTCTTTGCTTCTCCGGCAAGATCGGCCACAAGCCGGCGAGACCAATCAATAATTTTTTTATTATATATGTCGAAATTTGTTGCTGCATTTTTTCATTCAATACCTAGATATATAAGCAATTTTAGATTGATAATAATTTGATATCTTGCTGTATTTTTTTTTTTTTTTATTCATGTTATTCAATATTTTTTACCTTTGAACCTTTGAAATCAATTGTTTGGGTGAGAGAAGAGATGAAATTAGTTTGATAAACAAGTAGGAGGAGAGATGAGATTGGTTTAGTTTGGGAATAACCCAAGTCCAGCGTAAATTTATAGAAAGAAAATAGGATGAGAGAGAAAAAGAAGTTTAATAATATTCTAATTAACTTAGTAATAAAAAAATATTTTTTAATAATGTAAAATGCAATCTAGAAATATTTTTAAAAGTTCACGTGAAGTAAAAAAATTTGTCTTTTCAGGCGTTGCTGACTAGATTAATAAGGATGTAATGTTAGCAATTTTACAACTTTAGCTGCCATAAGACCACTTTAAAAATAGAGGGGCATATGACTTTTTTTGTAAATTTAGGGGGCAAATGACTTATTCAACCAAAAAGCAAGAAATAATAATGTCATAATAGTCTTAAGTAACCAATGATAAACTCATAATAGTTAAACTATTACATTATAATCGAAAACAATCCAAGAAAATTTATTTGCATTTGAAATTTATTAGCTAAAATAAAATATGGATATATATATCTGAGCATATCCTTTCAAACAAAAAAAAAAATTATCTGAGCATATATATAGATAGATAGAATATAACTATCTTGAAATTATTTTAGCAGCCCACGTTTTAATTTATTTGCATTTTTATTCTTCGTTTTTTTTTTATCAACTAAATTAGCAGCCCACGTTTTAAACCATTTCCACCATTTCTAAAGTTTATTAGCTAAAATAAAATATGGATATAAACCACGTTTGAAAGCTTCTATATAAATCCACCATTTCTGTAGTTCTCATCAAACTTATTGGAAAAGGAGAGAGGAAGATACCAATAGAGCAAAGACAATGGCTAATTTATGTCCACCTGGTAATCAATGGCTAATTTATGTCCACCTGGTAATTAATCAATTTAGTATTTTACTAATTTGTTTTTAGCTAACTTGATTTTGTGTATAACATCAAACTTACATGAAAATTGAAAATTTACAAGTAAGAGCTCGTAGCAGAGCAAAAACTATTTTATTGGAAATAAAAAAGAAGTATAAGGGAAAAGAATTTCGATAATTTTCTTTTTAAATTAGAAGGAAAATAAAAAATTATAAAAATTAATTTGTAGGAAAAATTAATTTTATTTTTCTTTTATATCTGTCAATGAATGTGGCATGGTCGTTCAAGTTCCTACGATTGGTTAAAGCTATGTTGTTTTACTCTATCTCCAAATAAATTATGGAATATTATCATAAAATAAAAGTTTCCTTCAATATCTATGAAGGCTTCTATTAGTAATATCATCGGATGAATATTTAGATGAATTATTGTTGTTAATTTAAAAAAATATTTAAATAATTATTGAACTATTCAATTCACCTCATTATTTATTACTCTGTTTCATAATATTTGTCATAATTGGAATTTCACATCTTTTAAGAAAACCATTAAATTTGTATAAGTTACAATAAATTATTGAGTAAATTGGCTATATTACCCTTAATTTAATATTAATTCTCTAAGCCAAATAACCAAAAGAAAAAATTGGGCAAGAAGACTTATTCATATCTTATTTTTCTTGGTTTCTAAACTTTGTGAGACCAACAATATTGAAAAATTGAATTGCTAAAGAGAAGGAATTTACCATCCTCTTTAAAAGGAAATTCTTTTGATTGGTCTATGAGAAAAGGGACATCAAAAAAAGGAAACTGAATCAACTCATCCTCTGATGAAAGGGGATTTCAGTATCTTAGTTTCATATTTATTCAATTGAGAAGAAAGAAGAAAATTTGGCCGAAATTCATTAGGTTAGATGAAAGGATTTGGAAACAAAATGTAGGTTTATTTTAAGATTTTAATATCAATTTTAAATTGTATTGATGATCATTTAAATTTAGAAAATAAATTTTAAACGAAGTTAGGAAGGTTAAAAATTGTAATAATGATTATTAAATTTGAAAAATTAAATATTGAAACGTTCTAAAGAAGTGGAATGGTTTCACATCGGAGTAATTAGAAGGAATAAAAAATTGCAATTAAACAATTACTAAAAAGGGAATAATTAAATTCAAAAGTTTAAAAGGCAAAATTTTTCTCAGGGAAATAAAATGCTAAAAATTTAGAGTAGTTTGCTTTTCAAATGATGCATCGGTCATCAATCAGGCGTCATCAATCAAGGAAAGCTCCATGATCCTCCTTTATATATAAATTAGTCGTATGCCAGCACGTTGTGCGGATTAACACTTATAAATAATTGATACAAATTAAATTTGATTGAAAAATGTAAATAAATTAATATGATAAAAAGTTAATATTTGTCAATTGCTTTTTCTTATTTATTATTCTTTGACTATGATTACAAAAACTAAAAATCCAGCTTTTTCTATATATTTAAAAGTGATAAAAGAATTCTACACTGACAAATTAAAAACAAAAAATTCACTTTATTAGCTAAATTTAAAACAATAAATATAAACATTACTTTTACAAATTAAAATAATTACTCAAACCATAAAATTATCTGAATAGAAAAAGAAATAAATTTCATGAATTGTTAATCATAGATGTCTAGGTATTAATTTTTATCACTATCTAAAAATCTTAAAAATATTTGAACATAAAAAAAAAAAAAAAGAATTTGTGGTTGATAAATTTATAAATTTATTAGATGTATTACTCATATATATAGAACCCAAAAGGGAGTCAGGATTTAGAAAAAAAAAAAAGGATAATTAAATTATAAAATAACAAAATATTATATCAATTTATAGTGTGGTTACTAATTATTAAAAAACTAATTAGTGTTCTATTATTACAAAAATCTATTATTTTGATCATTAATTATTGCAAAAGAAAGAAAACCAAGAGTTTTTTTATTAATGAAATAAATTTACAATCTGGTTATTAAAAATTAAATAAAGAAAATGAAAAGTTTTATAATTTATTTAGTTGGTCTCCCGGCTTTGCGTGAAGGTATAATATACATTTTTTATTTAAGATGTTAAACATGTTTGTTGATTAAATTTTAAGAAATCAAAATTTTTTTGTAGAAGTTACATGCACTTTAGCAAATTAAATGGTTGGATCATTTTATAACTGAATTCTCATTAATTTACAATGTAAGCTTTTTTATCCTTATTATTATTTAGATAAAAATAGTTAGAATATGTAGATATTGGTAAGTTCTTAAATGTAAAGAATCTCTTATTCTTATATAGAATTAAAAGAACTTTAATTATATATATATATATTATATATATATATATATATATATCATGGTTGTCGATTCCACCAAAAATTAATTACTGAATTTAACTGTAGAAGTGATGAATTCAGGTCGAACCCTAGAAACTGAAATCTTTCAATTTTGTGTTATTTTGTAAGAGAAAAAAAAAGGGGGTTGGTTTGTAGAAATTCAATCAAGGCAATCAAAAGAAAAGTAACTAATAAACTTAAATTGGAATTCAATCTAACAAATATTCAATTCAAGGTGATTTGTAATCCAATGTATAAATGATCACAGACAAATTATGAATTAATTATTCTTTGAATACTTAACTAAAACTTACCAACAAGCATGATAAATTCCCTGATTCCCTGACTTCCCTATTATCGTTAATTTGAGCCCAGCACCCTCACTAACTCTAATTATCAAATGAACCAGAATAAAACATTCCTTTTCAATCTAATAAAAGCATTAAGAACAGGAAGTAGTTAAACTTGCACAACGATTTAAAAAGCATAAATTGTTTAATTCAACCCCATTGTTTCTTTAGATTATTACTGAAAACTTGGAACATAATTAGAAAAATCTAATTGCTACTAACATTCAATCTCATATAACAATTACGGATTATGAGGATCAATAGCACTTAATCATACCAAATAATTGACTAATAGGCCTTTTTAGCAAATCATTCAATAGAACTAACACCTTAAATGCAAGAAACAACAGATATTTAGAGAGAATAAATTTAAAGTAAGAACGTGTCTCACAAATATACAAATGGATGTTGAATGTTGAATCCAAATGGATGTTGAATCCTTTGAATTGAACTAAGAAATTACCCACTCATGCCTATGACTTACAATCACTAAAACAAAAGAATAAAGAAAGATACTCAAAATAGATGATGAACTAAAAACCTTGATGTTTTGCTGCTCCCAAAACCACTCCTTTTATACCCTCTCAAAGAAAACAGAAAATCCCCAATTAATTAGGGATTTTGAAAGCAATCAATTGAAAATCTTCTCATTTTGATTTCTCTCCCGTTTTTCAGCTCTTCTCTTTTTGAATCCCTCTCTGATTCTTCAACAATTTTGAAGATCTCCTTCTCAGTTTCTAACGAGCTATCATTCGCCTAAAACGGATACTCACAGCTCAAGATCTGAAAAAAAAAAAAAACCCGAAACAGGTCTTCAACACACGTTACAGCAGAATGATCAAATTATTTATCGTTTTTAACACTTAAAACGACTTCATTTCACTTAGTGGTCTTCATAATAATTGTAGAGCTAGCTGTTAACATTCAAATGGGCATGGGCTGAGTTTATTTGGACATGTAAAACTCTAGATATAAATTAAAAACTGAAACCTGTTGTGCATGCTCATTCTAAACGTTTCTCCTGGATTCCGAGCTACTTTTGGTCAGCTTTGAGGCTAAATTGAATTTTGACCCTTTTATACATTTGTAGAGTTTTGTTTCATCTTTCCAATGAATCAAACAGATTCCAGTTTGGAGGCCTACAACTTCAGATATTCCTGAAAAACCGAACAAAGGTCAAACCGAACAAAGGTTCAAGATAATAAAATCTGAAAATTTCTCTTTATTTAATGGATTAATTATTCCAAAAGTAACCTAAGATCATGTTTCTAATTGATAAAATTGTCAACCACTAAGTTAAACTTAAAAATAATTTAGAAATACCAAAAATATTGAGAATAAAAGTAACAAAATATGCACATATCAAATTCCCCACACTTATTCCATGCTTTGGTCCTCAAGCATGACTAACTTTTATCCAACCAACTGAAAAAGAAAATTCAAAACCAAACTCTTCACAATCCTCAAAAAAAAAAAAAAAAAAAAAAAAAA